AGTATTACCTGGGGTTCCGATAAGACTTCACTTATAAACGTTCATTTGTCTTCGCAACGACTTTAGGATTGAAGACTTTATCCTTCCGTTGGAAACATACAGACATTTAACAGGGCAGCAATAATTGTAAATAACAATGATTGTTTGGGTAAATGGAGGTATACACTTCAATAGAGACCACGGAGATGATGAAAACCATAAAGAAGCCAGCCTGAGAGATTCCCTGAGAAGAGAAACACTTGAGGTTAACAAATNGTTGAACTACCAGTAAACAGCGCTGACGAAAAATGGGTTGAGGGATTGGTGACTACTCTGTCCAGTACATGGTTACATTTTGTGGGAGAGTGACCTAGTGATAAAAGGATGTGTACTAGTACGTTTAAAGTCGCCAATGACTAGGAGTAATTTAACAGCTAAAAGCGGGGCAATAAAAGGTGTAAACGAGTCAAAGAATGATACCATCTGGTTGTGTACAGTAGCGAGCTGTAAGTTAGTGCAAATTACATGAGTAAAATTGCACGGTAAGACACTCTTTAAACAGCACTGAAAGGTAACATGGCACTTGTCACACTACAAAACCGTACGGTATGTTACAACTCCCCCACCAGTCTTCTTTCCTTTGGTTCTAATATCCTGTTAGTAAACCTGAAAAGTGTCTGTTGACACTAGAGTTTCATCTGTATCCTTTTCCAGTCAGGATTACGGTACACGGATTACCCAAATGTACATAGGAATCCATGAATGGAGGTCACTAGTTAACTCCAACACTTTGGGAGTCAGGGACCAAATATTATTGATCAATGAGGGGACAGTCATCTTGACCAAATAAGTGCAGCGGAGGGCAGCTTACCATCCTGCGCGCTTGCTTCTTTTTCGTTTAAGCTGGAAGGTGAAAAACTGGAAAGCGGCAAAACCATTAAAAGATGTTCTGCAACGATTAGAGTCAACTAATATTATCTTGTGACTAGTAAGGATATAGATATTGACTGAAAATGAGAAAATCCCAACAAGATGACGGGAGTGTGTGGGAGTAGTACCTACATACAGTGTAACATACTAGAAGGCTTGAATCTGTTGAGCGTGCCGATCGACAAGAGTTACGGATCTGGAAATGCGCGCAACCAGTATCAAGCTGCCCTAGATAAAACACTTGGAATTCGTAGACTCTTATTGGCTTATCTTGGCACGGGAAAGCACCGAATACGTGCCNCCCCCCCCCCCCCCCAGCTATTTGCTTAATCTTGGGTCACTAGAGAAGCGGATGCTGTTAAATGGTTTAGATATTTTTTTAGACCTTTTTAATATACAAAACAGTGTTTTCTTTGATGATACATGAGAGTCGATTTTTATACGTTTGTTTTAAATTGCGACCTTGAACCATGTCGGAAGGGTCGAAAATGTACCGGATGCTACACCAAATTCAAGGAGAGGCGTGTGTGGAGGATACGCAGGACCGCCATTTATTGCCTCAAACACGTACCCGTGCTTGTGG